TCTCTCTCTCTCTCTCTCTCTCTCTCTCTCTCTCTCTCTCTCTCTCTCTCTCTCTCCCCCCAGGGACTGGTAGGAGACCCAGAGGAAGAACCAGGACACGCTGTAGAGACTGATTGTTTTTTTTAATTTTGCTTCTTATACTCCTGATTTATGCAGCAATAAATCTGTTCATTTTATTCATTAAAATGATAAAGAAATGAATGTTGCTGATTTTTTTTATGCCTGTCATCATCTAAGAAGAATTTCGTCAAATAGTTTAACAAACTTTGTCTTTCATAAGAAAGTAAACAAAGCCATTGTGAAATGTTCACAACATCAAGGTGCATTTATGTGGTGATTTGTGGTTTTACAAAGAAAATCTAAAATTAAAGACGGCGGGATATGTGCATTTCTTATAAAGTGGTCGTTTTCCCTACAGTCTGTGAATGCAGCAGTTGAACGGCGCATGCGCAGAGGTTTCGCACACTGTTTGAAATGAACAAGAAGGACGCCTGAGTTGAAAGACGTATTTTTTTTTTTTTTTTATCTAACATCGGAAACAACGAGCGGGAGGGACGAACATCCACGGAATAAAGTAAGAAACATCATTGTTTACTTATCAGAAAAACCACGGGCTGGCTGGTAATCGGAATCTAAACATTTACTTACTAAACATTTAGTGAGTTTAAATTATCCAAGCTGCATTAAGTGGTTTCAATTTTACATTCCGAGTCAGTAAATACAAAATATGTGCGGATTAAGTTCGCTCTAAAAGCATATTTAAAACATGCCGCGCGATAACTAGCGTTCGTCAACAATGCCGCCATGTTGGAAAGGTATGATGTGGCCGCCATGTTGGTAAGGTAAGGAAGAGGCTAGTGTGTCACATTTATGAATGTGTGCATTTTTCTATTTTTTTTAAATACACTGTTGATACATGATGCTTTTTTCTTTGTTAAACATTTATTCCTAATTTGTGTGTTAAGTGTTTTTGTACTCCTAAGACATCCTGATGATGATACTATAGCATATTACTGTGAACTATTATTCATGTTTCCTTTTTTTGTACAGTTTTCTTTTGTGATCATTTTGTCTTTCAGCTTGATGTTTTGTCTGCTTCCTCTTGGCTCTGTACTTTAAAATAAAATTTGTGATCGCTTTTCATTGTTAAGGCGATGATACCCAGACATATGTCCTGATAAAGAACAAGGACACCAACTCTCCGAGTACTCTGTTTTCATTTATTTTTTCCCTCTGGTCTTGCTCCACCTTATCTGTCTGAACTGCTACTTTCTTACACACCCTCTCCATCCCTCATTCAGTTTTATTGTAGTCGTTGTCAATGAACAGGATTCACAGACTAGGAACTTGCTTTGGTGCAAAGTATAAAATATAAGAAATATAGAAACTACAAAGGATAAAAGGAAAAAATTGAATAAAATATAGAAAACATAGGTTCAATACAGTACTCAAAGAAGTAAATATAGTTGGAAAAGTGCAATTAGATCCAGTGATAAAGTGGCCAAGGCAGAGTTATAAAGTGACCTGATTCGTGTTCAAGAGTCTGACTGCAGAGGGGAAGAAACTGTTCTTATGATGGGATGTTCTGGTCCAAATGGACCGAAACCAACCTGAGGGGAGTGGTATGAACAGGTTGCATGCAGGGTGAGAAGGGTCAGCTGTGATCCCACCTGCTCGCCTCACAGTCCTGGAGAAATACAGGTCATGGAGAGAGGCTGCAGCCGATCAGCTTCCCAGCTGAGCGCACAACGCGCTGCAGTCTGTGTCTGTCCCTGGCAGTGGCCCCGGCGTACCACACCATGATGGAGGAGCTGAGGATGGACTCCATGATGGAGGAGCTGAGGATGACTCCATGATGGAGGAGCTGAGGATGGACTCCATGATGGCTGTGTGGAATTGCACCATCAGCCTGGCCGGCAGCTTTTTCTGGGTGTTGCTGCTGCAGCAGATCACCAGCCGGTCCACCTCCCACCTGTAGGCAGACTCATCGCCATCCGAGATGAGCCCGATGAGGGTGGTGTGTCATCCACAAACTTAATAAGTTTTACGGCGTCGTGGCTGGAGGTGCAACAGTTGGTGTGCTGAGAGAAGAGCAGAGGGGAGAGAACACAGCCCTGTGGAGATCCTGTGCTTATAGTCTGCGTGTCCGAGACAACTTTCCCCAGCCGCACGCGCCGACTTCGGTCCGTCAGGAAATCTGTGATCCCCCTGCAGGTGGAGTCGGGCACATGGAGCAAAGAAAGCTTGTCCTGGAGCAGAGCAGTGTAGGGGTCACCTCGAGTGAAGAAACAGGAGTTACTGCCTCAAAGCAGGTCTTGGACAGGCCTGAAAGAAGGCAGGAACACTGAACTCTATTTTAGGCCATGATGGGTCATTTCAACCTACAGGAGGACTTCAGTTCTCTAATCAGATATTAAACAGAAACAATCTGTTCTGTTCATGATTCATTGGTTGTTTAACTAAGAATGTTTATGCATCTGTTAATCACAATAATGACATGTCACAAAGAAAGAAAGAATCACTTCTATTCTTTTATCGTGCCTAAAATAGATTAATGAATGGTATAAAATCACAGAAAATCATCACCATGTTTTCATTGTGTTTTTATAAATCAATTTTTTATTTTACTGAAACATCAGTAATATAATTTTGAGTTTTTCTTAAGAAAATCTTACATTTATCTGGACACAAGTTCAGACTGATTATTTAAACAGAAATGTTAATTAATCATCATAAATGTTTTACAGTGATTCCTCTTACAGTCTAGCAGAAAGAAGCAGAGAAGATATTATTATAATGTCTGTTTAAAACAGCTACAGAAGTGGCCTTGACTGGTGTCTGGCAACTCTCTTATCTTCTTTCATTTCTCTGACTCATGCAAAACGCCTCAGGGCGGATCTAAGGCTCCGACTCCTTCTTACTAACACGGACGTCTTAGAGACACACGGGAGTTCCTTCCTGGATGCTGAAAAGGGAAGACGGGCTGATTCTCTCCGGAGAACAGCCGGGCCGCAGGTTTGACTCAAGAGCCAATTCGAGTCGGCTTGTCGGCCAGGGCAGAAGCAAGCCGCTTCCTGTCCAACTTTAGAGACCCAGGTCTCTTTAAGTGTTTTCAACTCCCGAGGGGAGACTTTTATTTTGAAAGACGACCGGGACTTTCAGCTGGAATCTTTCTAGCCTGGGCTGAAACAGATGGAAAAGTCACCTGAAAGACACCTTTTCGCCAAGGACCAGCGAGGACAAGCTTCCTATAGGGTCGTTGGTGAGACAGTACCACCCGGGGTGTTTTGAGCAGGCATCACCAGGTAATGCTGACGTGTTCGTGGGTGACGTGTCAAGTTGAAGCCTGAGAGCAGAGGGGACGTGCTGAACCGGTTGTAAACCTTACCAGAATAAAAGCAGAAACACTAATCCCTAATTTTCTTACCTTTTCTTACCCTTTATCCTTTGCCAACCCTAAGTGAAGTGCCAGTAAATTGTTTAGTTATTCCATCAGAACTGACGTTTACTGTCTATATAAGTAATCTGAGTTAATGTGAAAGAAATTCGGATGCGGGTTTTATCTCATTTACTTAGACGCTTAATATAGGAAGTCCACAATCAGGTGTAAACTATGATTTTGTTCAATTTGTGTAAATAAATGATTGCATAATCTTTTATGAATCAACTTGAACTCGTCTGACGTTCCCTCATTGTGTCACTTCACTTTGCACAGAAAAATATTAAAGTAATGAGGAAAACCTTGATAAAATTTACTCTCATAACTTAGTTATGAGAAGATGTAGGGAACYTATTTGCATAAGTAACTCACCCTTACAGCAGGAAGGATGGTGTTGAATGCTGAAGTCCTCAGGTCAGCTGATCAGCTGCTCCTGACTGTGTCCAGGACAAAGCGTAAGCTCAGAGGTGACCGTGCTTCTTCTGTGACAGCTCTTATGGAATGACCTTCCTTTGGACATCAGACAGGCGTCGTCTGTTTTCAGATCTCTTCTTAAAACCCATCTCTTCTCTCTGGCCTTTGAACATCATTTGTAGTGTTGAATTTTTATGTTTTTATTACTGATTGTATGAGTAAATGCATGCTTTTATTATGTGTACAGCACTTTGATSCTGTGGGTGTTTAAAGTGCTCTATAAATAAAGCTGGTATGGTATGTTTTTAATAATTTGAATATAAAACTGTTTCAGGACAATGGGTGACCTCGAACGCATCAGCCTTCATGTTCATGATAAAATCTCAGCCTTGCAGAGAATGTTGGACCTGTCAGCTGCTGGTACGACTCAGTGATTTAACTTTCTGTGTCTCTCTGATCCAGTGTGTAAAAATAAAAGCCCAGAAGGGGTTATTTTTTTTTCTACTTGCAGAATTGCCTCAGCAGAAAATAAAAAAACTGGGACAGGAACTATTGGTACTTGGCAGACTTATGGAGGAGTTTGAACACTGTGTTGATCAACAGAAAGAGCAGCTGAAGCATCTGAAGGTACATCATCCTTTATACCAGTGTTTCCCAAAGTTGCGGTCGGAACCAGGTGGGGTCCTGAAAAGATTTTCGGAACTAATTACATTTTTGCCTTAGTTGTTACAAAGGAGTGAGGTTGGTATATTTAAAATGGATAAATGTAGTATAAAATTATTGTTACTATGCCCATGTTTAGTTGACCTGATACAAATGTTTATCATCCAAAAATATCTGGGAGCACAGGTCTCTGTTATTGTTATTTTCTGGGTCAAAAGCTGAAAAGTTTGGGAACCACTGCACTTTGGTTCCCAAAGTTGGGCTTGGGACCCAATTATGGGTCATGAAGCACCTTGGATAATCT